CTTCTTTCTTTCTTTCTTATATTCACTGATCGCTCTAATCTGTTGTCTTATTTGTTTCTTTATTTCTTGCAACCTATAACGTTGGATCTTGCTTTCTTTCTATATATTTCGAACATGTATTTTTTTTCATAATTCTTTCTTTCTTTCTTTCTTTCTTCTTTTCTTTCCTTTCTTTCCTTTCTTCCTTCCTTTTAGACTCATGATAAACAGTTCTTTCTCTCCGTTACTAAATTTATATCTATCCGTCATAAAATATCCAGTTTATTTCTTCATTTCTTTTCTATATTCTCCGACCGCTCTAAACTCTTATATTGTTTCCTTCTTGCTTTCTGTAACATCTGAACTTGCTTTCATTCAAATTTTCGGACATGTAAATTCTTCATAAGTATTTCTTTCTTTCTTTCTTTCTTTCTTTCTTTCTTTCTTTCTTTCTTTCTTTCTTTCTAGACTCATTATAAACAGTTCTTTCTTTCTTTCTTTCTAGACTCATTATAAACAGTTTTTTCTTTCTTTCTTTCTTTTTTTTTAGGCTCATTATAAACAGTTTTTTCTTTCTTTCTTTTTTCTAGACTCATTATAAACAGTTTTTTCTTTCTTTCTTTCTTTCTTTCTTTCTTTATTTATTTATTTCTTTTTTCTAGACTCATTATAAACAGTTCTTTCTTTCTTTGTTTCTTTCTTCCTTCCTTTCTTTCTTTCTTTCTTTCTTTCTTTCTTTCTTTGTTTCTTCTCCATTATTTACCTTAATTCTTTCATTCTTTTTACTTTATCATATAATTTCTTTTTCTTTATCATATTTCTTTATTTTTTTCTTTCTTTCTTCTTTCTTTCTTTCTTTCTTTCTTTCTAGACTCATTATAAACAGTTTTTTCTTTCTTTCTTTCTTTCTTTCTTTCTTTTTTCTAGGCTCATTATAAACAGTTCTTTCTTTCTTTCTTATTTCTAGACTCATTATAAACAGTTTTTTCTTTCTTTCTTTCTTTCTTTACTTCTTTCTTTTTTCTAGACTCATTATAAACAGTTATTTCTTTCTTTCTTTCTTTCTTTCTTTCTTCTCCATTATTTACCTTAATTCTTTCTTTCTTTTTACTTTATCATATAATTTCTTTTTCTTTATCATATTTCTTTATTTTTTTCTTTCTTTCTTCTTTCTTACTTTCTTTCTTTCTTTCTTTCTTTCTTTCTTTCTTTCTAGACTCATTATAAACAGTTCTTTCTTTCTGTCTTTCTTAATTTATATCTGTCCTTCATAAAATATCTAATTTATTTCTTCGTTTCTTTCCAACATTACCCGACCGTCCTAAACTGCATTCTTTGTTTGTGTTATATACCGAACCTATGAACACTAATGCGTGTGTCCCAATCCTCATAAATGCGTTGGACACTATTGTAAGTGGGGGTACTATATTGTCTAAATTGTCCAGCAGCCCTAGGACTGATTTACCTACTTCACGCCGCTGGCGAGTATTGTATTTTGTTACTGTTATAAAGATTACCATTTCATTTGCAACCTCCGTTATTCCTCATTCAATAATCCTTTCTTGGTTACAACATTTTCTTTGTTTTTTATCTGTCTTTTTTTTCTTTTTTTCTTTCTTTCTTTCTTTCTTTCTTTCTTTCTTTCTTTCTTTCTTTCTTTCTATCTATCTATGTAAATTAGTTACTTAAGTAATTTATCTATTCATCATAAAATATCTTCTACTGTTTTCCATTCTCCGATCGTCCTAAGCTGTTCCTTGTATTCTATTTTTTCTAGAACAACCATAAACTCTTGTTTGTTTGTTTCTTTCTTTCTTTCTTTCTTTCCTTCTTTCTTTCTTTCTTTCTTTCTTTCTTTCTTCGTTAGTCATAAGTTTTTTTTTTATTTATTTCATTTTAGGTTCACCCCAAACTGTTCTATTCCTTGTCTGTTCCTTTCTTTCTTTCTATGTTCGTTCTAAGTTTTACTTTTCTTTCCTTCCTTATAGGATGACGATAAACTGTTCTATTCCTCCTTTCTTCCTTTCTTTCTTTCTTTCTTTCTTTCTTTCTTTCTTTCTTTCTTTCTTTCTAGATACACTATGCACTTTTTTATTCTCGTTTCTTATCTTCTTTCTATCTTTCTTTCTTTCTCTCTGTCTTCCTGCGGTCACCATATCTGTCCTGTTCGACTCTCAAAGAGACCAGACTTAAATCTACCTTTTCACTCTAAATTCCAACCAAACAATATATCAACATATACTTTATATCTGTATAGTTTTGAATCCCCTGTAAACTAAACCTATATCTATTTTTCTTACGCACTTTCTGATAAGATATACATCTAGGTTTTAATATATAATTTATGCCTATCTATTGTTTATCAAAATGATAGAATTCACCATTATATAATCTGGAAAAGGTTGATGTACCATAAAACAAATCAAAATCGAATCAACAATTTTTCCGAATTTTTTTTTCTGTTTCAAATTCAAAATATTGATGAATGTAATTCAGAATCTGAAAATGGAATTGTGTTCCGGTTAATTTGTAGTGATTATATTTTATTTAATCTTGCTGACTCTTTTTTTTTTAATATTCCAGAAGAATTTCGGTCTGATGCTGTTCTTAAGATAACCTAATTAGTATCCATTGATGTCTTAGCATACGTAAACACACAACACAAACACACACACACACTACACACACACACATATAAATATATATATATATATATATATATATATATATATATATATACAGGGTGTCCATAAAGTTCGATATATATATATATATATATCTGTGTGTGTGTGTGTGTGTGTGTGTGTGTGTGTTTATGAATTACATCTTCGATACCAATAATTATAAGACGATATTAAATTCTAACATTGGTGACACAAATAATACACACATTTATAATGTCAACTCGTCAATTTTTTTACCTATATATATATATATATATATATATATATATATATATATATATATATATATATATATATATATCAACTTATCTATCTATCTATCTATGTATCTATCTCTCTCTCTCTATATATATATATATATATATATATATATATATATATATATATATATTATATCCGATACCAGTAATTATAAGACAATATTAAATTCTAACATTAGTGACACAAGCAACACGCGCATTTCTATAGTTAACTCGTCACTAATCGAAATATGAGTACAATGCGTGTACATAAAGTTTAACCTATTTTTCGTTTGTTTTTCTTTCATTCTCTGCTCTTTTTATTATAATACCAGAAGACTTTCTCCTGGCGTTATCCTTGTTAACTTCATTAGTAGCCATTGATATATTGTTCAACCCTTATATATATATATATATATATATATATATATATATATATATATATATATATATATATGACCGAAACAAAAAACCCCATTTAAAATACTTTCTATTTTTATTTATTATCAATAGCTTTTAGAAGAAATGCTTACGTGAGGAAAGCGTTTAGTATGAGGTTTTATTTATAAGTTGATATGCCCACTAGATTTTACCGCCAGATTCTCGGGCCGCCCAGGAACCACATCAATTGATTTCACCATTAAGTCTTGTGGCATGAAGAACATAGCTTCTTGTATTCGCTCTTCAATTTCTTCCAAAGTTGTGGTTTGGTATAACAGACTTGCTGCTTTAATCATACCCCACCCCATAAAAATATCACAGGGTGTTAAATGCAGGACTCCTGGCTGAATATTCATGCATAAAATAGAAAGTGACTTTTCCATCATTCTGTATATTATTACATGTATTCGGTCGTTTTCTGATGTCCTGTGAAGGATCTCGAATAGTAATCTTAGAATTTTTGTTACCTCTTTGTAACACTGGTATGAAACTGTTGTCTTGCGTTATTGAAATTTTTATTTTAGATTAGACACCTCTTCGCGATACAATGCCAAAGTCTGCAATAATGAGCATGTTCGACATCTCCTTCTCTTTGCTTTTAATCCAGATGAAAAAGTTGCCAAAGCTGTTCGAGAAGTTTATGCTGCGTACAGAGATGACTTCATTAGCGACAGAATGGTACAGAGATGGTTTTCCTGTTTCAAGGAGAGAAGGCCCGACCGTTCGCGTTCTGCCCGACCTCTTCACTCGAACTCCCAGACTGTTCGCGTTCTGCCCGAACTCTTCAGGTTGATGAGAATTGCACGCGATGAAGAGGAAAAAAAGAACCGCCTAGACCACGAGGGAGTTGGCTGAGAAGAATCCAATCTCTTGTGTTACTGTCGCTCGCCATCTTTACTCAGTGGGTAAGGTCCAAAAACACAGCGTATGCGTGCAACACGAATTGACCGCGCCAAATTCCAGTGCCTCTCTTTTCTCGCCAGTTTATTCGCTCGACACCGGGCTACTCTTGGAGACAAAAGAAAATTCATTTAACATATTATCACCGAGGATGGAAAATGGTGCCTTTACGTGAACATGATACAGAGAAAAGTCTCCGCATCAAGTCAACAACCTGATCTAAATCAAAACTACATTCACGCATCAGAATGATGTAGTGTTTGATAGTATTGACAAGGACTAATTTAATTCTCGATGCAATCATTATGTTTGGACTGAAAACTGACCGTTGTAAATTTTAATAATTAATATTAATAAAGTAATTGCATTATAGTATAGGAGTACAAGTCTTTACGGGGAAAATAGATATACAATTGCATACATCAAATTGCAAACATATAAATATAACTTAAAACATGTCTCATATATATTTTTATATGTAACACGCATAAAATCACAAGTATCAGTCACATATTTACATATCCAAATATACAGTAGGCTATGATAAGTTTTTAGCCATCCTTCATTCCACCAATTTTGGCTTTATTATTTACATTATTCGGACTATTGTCATCATCGTTGTCGCCATATTTATCATAACGTTTCGGCAGTTGCACGCTCCGGCCTTCTTCAGGTGTCGAACTGAAGCCTTTATTTCGCTCACCGAATTTTCGTTCTAGTTCCACGTGCCATGTTTAATGGATGTCAGTTATCAGTTATCTCCTGTTAATTTCCCTCTGAAGGTTCTCCACTGCATTGACCGGGTATTGAACTCAGACTCTTTGGGTCCTGTCACTGGATCTAACCAACGCCTTTATCCACTGTGCCATGTGTCCTTGAGGCCGGAGCGTACAACGGCCGAAACGTTGTGATAAATATGGCGACAAAGATGAGGACAATAGTCCGAATAATGTAAATAATGTACATAATACCTCATCTCAGAAATATAGACAGACAATTTTGGCTTGTTTAATGTTTCTTCCTTTTTTCAGACAATACCGTGTTAGTATCAAGCTACTCTCATCTATGAACGATAGTTGACTTATATTTTGCAATGAAAGTTCGTGGAAGTAAGGAAATTAGTGAATTTAAACAAGGGCAAATAATAGGATGGCATCAGTGTGGCAAGTCAAATAGAGAAATTGCTCGGTTTTTCCAGGTTAATCATCAAACAGTTAATAATAGTTTCAAGAAATTTAATGAAGAAGGCCATTGTCGTGTGGAACAACGTTCAGGAAGGCTAAGCATCGTGTCTGAGCAAACGAAAAGGACGCTGAAGAGGGAAGTCATCAGAAACCGTTGTCAAAGCAGCAATGATGTCGCCAACATGGCATGGAAATGTCGCCATATTCGGTGAGAAAGACTCTGAAAGAGCTAGGCTATCAAAGAAGAGTTGCCAGAGAGAAGCCCTTGATTTCAGAGATTAACAGGAACCGGCGTATGGACTGGGCGAGAGAATTTGAGAGCAAAGTCTGTGAATTTTGGCAGTCTGAATCACTGAAATTAGTAAATGGACGACCTACTCTATACTAATTCCAAATATTGTTTATTTATATTGAGTTGAAATTGGATAATTAAATTATGAAACTGAATGTAGTTCATTTCTCCTGGCTAAAAACTTTTCTTGGGCCACTGTACATATATAAACATATACTGCATTTAGTCAGATGAAAGTAAATTCTGCCTTCATTTGAATGCGAGACAGGTTTATGTTTGAAGAAATCAGGATGAGACTTGGAACACTGAATGTCTCCAGGCAACCGAGAAACATGGAGGGATTGGAGTAATGGTGTGGGGCGCTGTCTGGTTTCGAGAGAAATCTGAGCTGATTCGTGTTGACGAGCGGTTAAATTGTCCAAAATACTAGAATATTAGAATAAGGACTACTTCCACTATTTGAAACCTATCAGATTGACAAGAATGTATATCTTTTTCAAGAAGATGGAGCGCCATTTCATACTAGCAATGTAGCAAAACCTGGAGGAATCGCAAAGAATGAAGTCACTGTCATGGGTAGCCCAAAATCCTGACATGAATCTAACAGAGCACTTTTGAGAGCTCCTTGACCGAAAACTTCGAGAACATTCAACCAAAATTACGTCAGTGGCAACCCTTAATGAAACCTTGCTAAAGGAGTGGCAAAATATGGATCAGACGATTGTTGATAACTTGATCGATTCCATGAAAAATCGAATGCAATCACTGAAACTAGTAAACGAACGACCTACTCTATACTAATTCCAAATAGTGTTTATTTATATTGGGTTGAAATTGGATAATTAAATTTTGAAATTGGATGTACAGTGTAACCCGGATATAAGAGACCCGGATATAAGAGAAACCCGGATATAAGAGAGATTTTCTCTGGTCCCAAAGTGTTCCCATACTTACCTAAACAAAATAGACCAAGCACGGATATAAGATAAACCCGGATATATGAGACTTCTCCGGTCCCGACAACTCTCTTATATCCGGGTTACACTGTAGTTTATTTCTCCTGGCTAAAACTTTTCTTGGGCCAATGTACATAGATAAACATATACTGCATAAAATAATCATTCATGTACATAATTATTCATTAGACATACGTAAAAAATTGTGTATACATTTAATAACTTCAAATACATATATATATATATATATATATATATATATATATATATATATATATATATATATATATATATAGCTGCGCAATATAGACTCACATACATATCCAAGTTCATATTTTTAAAAATGAATCTGATGCTAACAGTGTGGAACAAAATTTATATATATTCATTTTATTAGTATGAATTCCATCTCTGTTTTCAAGCAACGAACATAGTTTTAATAGCACAAAACTCACTGTATATATATATATATATATATATATATATATATATATATA